GAGAGAGAGAGAGAGAGAGAGAGAGAGAGCGAGAGAGAGAGTGGTTGTAGTAGTGAGGATGATGATGTTGGGTCTGTAGTCGCATCAGAGCACATCTCACACATTCACACAGAGCAGCTTCATAGACCGGCGAGATGTGGCGGATAGTGGAGCTCGTGGCGTGTTTACTTATGATGTCCAGTCATGTATCATCTCAGAACAAGGTAAGAAAGAGTCAAAGTTTGAGAATTGGTTTTGCATTTATGTGCATTTATTGAACAAGATATTATTGCAGAACTAGATCATGCAAAAAAATAAAAAAATCGCTTATTCCATTACCAAACTTCACTGTAATCATGCTAATCATACTAAAACGTTTCATTCTTTTATGCACAAACTATTAAAATATAGAAAAATATTTATTTTACTCAGTTGCATTCAAAAACATAGGTGTTCAGTTTTTTTTATTTATTTATTTATGTAGCCTACTCCACGCATGACATGACATTATCAGTTGGAAGTTTAGTCTTCAGTTTAGTTCAGTTGTTTGGGGTTTGGTGTTTTTATAGTTCCAATGATTATTCGCAGGGGTGGGCGCTTTGAACGTGTTTGGATGAAACTCTTCAGCAGGGCAGACACACTGCGCGCAACGCACCTCGGCACGAGTTCAAAGGTCTCGGGTTCTGGAGTGAAAAGATAACACTGTCTAAAATCACACGTGCTCAATCCTGCTCCTGGAGCTTTCTCGCTGTGCTGCTCGAACTATAATCTAATACACCTGCACAGAAGAACATTCGCTTGCTCTTTCACAGCTCTTTAGCCTTAATGTTACAATTAAAAAATCACCACACAAGACGCTTTTCAAAAATGGCACTTCTTTCAGCAACTTGCAAAACGATATCAGAATTTTTTTACAAGACTGACAGTGGTTAGCCCAATACTTCTGAAAGGTTTTGAGGAACGCAAAATATATATTATTTATTATAAATATATCCTTTAGCACAATATAGGAAAATCTAATGTTGCCTAAAGGTTTTTTCCAGAGGTTTCCACCCCACATAGTGCCTCAAGCATCTTTTCATTTTTTTCAGTGGATGAATAATTGTGGCCAAAACTGATAGTTGGTATTACAAATAGTGTTTTGGTTGTTGCTTTAAAAAGTATAAGAAACCCCCTCCAAAATGAAGCGTCAAGCCATTATAATAATACCTTTTTTGACTGTTTGTTTGAATCAGAAAAAATAAGCTCTGATTTAATTAGCTTCCAATATTGCCAAAAACAGCTCAAATTGGCTCTAATTTTTAGCATTTGCATTTCATTTTAGTATCAGCTCTGTCTCTGATGTTTCTACTGAAATTCCTGTCGTTTATAGTGCAATTAAAATATGTATAGCCTGATAATTTGCTCTTATAAGAATCTGGTGAGAAATGTGAGAGTCCATACTGAGATCTCCGACTTTTGATTGCAGATATTGGTGTCTCTTTGCAAATCTGAGTGCTCTTTTTTTCAACTCTAGAGGAGATTACATGTTTTTTGTCCTCAGGAGAAAGATCTTAAAAGGAGAAGTCTCCATTTGTTCTTTATTTCATCTTATTGCTGTCTAGTAGAAATGCTCAATATATTTTTTTCCCTAAGAGTGCCTGACATTTTCAGGTAAACCATAAGATGTTGAAACACAGGTGTGTTTGAACTGAACCCAGGATGGTAGCAGA